CACACACACCATCCCTTCAGCTATCACTTCTCTCATTCCCTCATAGAAAGCCTCTCAGGGAAAGTGGTACTGCTGCCTTGGGCTGGTGCCCATGGCTCTTGAAGGGCTCCTATCACGCTTTCTTCTTACCACTCTGGTCAGAATCACCAGGTCTGTAAAGCCCTATCTGTGGCTGTATTTCCTGGTCCTCACCCTATCAGCAGCACTTGACTTTAGTCTTTTCTTTTTTAGAAGGACCTTCCTTCTCTGGGCTTTTGAGTTACCACTTTCACCCGTTTCTCCTGTTACTTGACCATCCATCTCTCCCCTGGGCATCTCAGGGCACATTCCTTGGACCTCTTCTTTCACACACTGTCTCATGGCTTTACAATGCCATCTGTATCATAACATCTTAAAACTTTATACCAGTACTCAAGCCTATCCCCTGAATGCCAGCTCCTGAATTGGCATCTTCATTTGGAAGTCAATAACTGGCATCTCAAACATAATACATACAAAACTGAAATTCCAGTCTCCCCCTAAAATCTCCTTTCACATTTCTCCATCTCAAGAAAAGATAACTCCATCTTACTGATATCCAGACCCAACTCCTTGAGATTTCCCTAGACCTAGACCGTTCCATTTCTTTCACCTCCACATCTGTTCCATCAGAATGTACCCAGAATCTGACAGCTTCTACTGTCACCATCCTGTCTGAGCTACCCTCTTCTCCTGCCTGAGCTACCCTCTTCTCCTGCCTAAATTATCTTCCAACTGGTCTCCCAGCTGCTTTCACACAGACTGTTTCAGTGCAACACCAGTGGGTGTGGACCTTGCGGTTCTGCTGGAAATCCCCAGTCATTTCCCATGTCACTTAAAGCCAAAACCATTACAATGGCCTGATAAAACCCTACATGATCAGGTATCTTGTTTCTTCCCTGTCCGACTTCATTTTTTACCTTTCTCTCCCTCATTTCCTCTACTCACTCCATGGTAACTTTCTTTTCCTTCAATATGTCAGACACACTGACACTTCAGAGTTTTTGCATTTTCTGCTTCCTAGAATACCTTTCCTCTTAAAAATCTACTGATTCACTTCCTCACTTTTTTAGGTTCTCCAATCATATGTCTTTTCTTCAGACCTTTCTAGTTGATATCAAATAACAGTTATATTCTTCCTAAGCCTGACTATGCAAAATCTAGTCCTCTGCCCCCCAGACATCCCTGTCTCCTTTTCTGTGCTGTTTTTCTCCATAAGACTGGTTAGCATCCAGCATTGTCTGCCTCTCCCAACAGAATGTCAAGACTTGCCTTTGTTGATGTAGGGGTGGTGGGAGGGGAACGGGAAAGGAAAGAAGGCAAAGGAAAAATTATGAGAAAAGAAAAAAAATGGAAATGAAATCTATGTAAATAGGGAAGGGCGGAGGGGGTGAAGGGTGCACAGGTAATGGGGAAAAAAATAAGAACCAAGATACATCATATACAGGTACAAGCACCCAATGATAAATGTAAACGTATTCTATACCTAAAATGTACCAATAAAAGAATTTTTAAAAAAAGACTTACCTTTGTTAAGTGCCAGGAACATTATTGGTATGTAAATGTTCAGTACATGTGCTCGCTTCAGCCACACATGTACTAAAATGTTCACTAAGCACTTGTGTGAACAAATGTTTCCTTTTCCTTCCAGAGTTTGATATACAGTCTGTCATAGATTACATTCTGTTTACCTTAGTTTCAGCATTTGACAGCCTTTAGATTTTGGCTACAGGTTTGGATTTTTAAACTTGTTCCATAATTACAGCCCCATTTTCTCATTCTTGTAATTTTCTTTTAGTCCTATCTCTCACTGGCCACACCTGTGTGTGACTGTGCCTGAGCATACATACACTTAAGATGGGTATTTCAAGTCTGTTTTTTGTTTTTCAAGTCTGTTTTTAACAAAAGCTGAGCTTGTCTTTTTTGTTCATTTATTACCAGTTATGTAATTACTTTAGAAGAATCAGTACCCTTTTTCTGTGAGAAAACTTTTGTGAATATCTAGAAGAAAATTTATATTTTTTTCAATCAATAATGGGAATTTTACTTTTTACATAGGATATTTTAATTCTTATAAGTAATATCACCCCATTATTACATTTGTAATTGTAGCACAAAGGTTTAGTTAGAACACAGATTAGGTCTGTCCTTATTTAGTTAGATCTTCTAGTACGGAGATGTGCTGTTTACACCATATCACATTTATCTAGAAGAAAATTACTGGTTATTCACTGATTTTTTTTTTAGTATCTTCATAGAAGTGACTTTTCTGCATAAGTTTTCCTTAGAAGTTATAGATAGATCATCTTACCATAGATTTCTTCAGCAGCAAAGTATAGCAACTAAGAGCCCAACTTCAGGAAAAAGTCCTGCCATTGACTCTCAGTTCTCCATCAGTTAATTATATTTGGCAAATGTATTTTCTTGGAAGACTTGAGATTAGTAACCTATTTATAATCTCATTCTCTGAAGAAAAGTGTCAGTGACTCTAAAACTAATATCTGGTTTTCTTTCTCCTTCTTTTAGGTTCGTGATGATGTGTACCACAGTATACTCACAAATAATCTCCCAAATCTTCTGGAATATGGTAACATTACTGCTCTGACAAACCTGTGGTATGCTGGGCAAATTACTAATTTTGAATATTTGACTCACTTAAACAAACATGCTGGCCGATCCTTCAATGATCTCATGCAGTACCCAGTGTTCCCATTTATACTTGCTGAGTATTTGAGTGAGACACTTGACCTCAATGATCCATCAATCTATAGGTAAGTTAAGACATCATCACCTTTTGGTTTCATATTATTGTCATTGAAGTTTTTATTATGAAAACTTTTAAGCATGCACAAAAATAGAATGATTATATAATGGACTCCCGTATACCCATAAACTTGCATCATCATTTTTTCCTTTTTATTTCAGACATCTTCTTACAATCCATCATTTCTGAGTTTTACAGTATGCATCTTTTTTTAAAAAATGGAACATTTCTTATATAACTACAGTGCTGTTATCACATCTAAGAAAATTAATTCCATGACATCATCTAATATCTAGTACATTTCCATATGTGCCCTGATTATCTTAAAAATGTGTTTTTATGATTGGTTGGTTTGAATCTGGTCCTTGTCTTATAGATTATTGATCGTTGTCTCATAGATTGTTAGTATATCTAAAAACATGCATCCAAAATAGCCTTTAATTTTCATTATGTAGATTTTCTCTTTATTTCCTCTGGATATTAACTTGCTTAAAAAAAAAAACAGCCATCATTTAATTTGTTCCTCTAGCCTCTGTATTTCCTAGAAATTAGAAATTAGTTCCAAAGGCTTGATTAAATTAAAGTTCAACTTTATGTAGACAAGAATATACTATACATGCTGGGATGAGCTTTGTGTGGCTACTTACCATATCACAGGGGCCTGTAACATCCCACTCTGAGATTCTTAGATGAATCTGTGAGTTCAAGCTCCCATTGATCTTTTACCTAGTGATTCCATCTATTGATAATAATTGTTTGCATCACTTATTTCACTAGAGGCTGCAAAATGGCGATTTCTTTTGTTTTTGTTTTTGTTTTCTCGTACCGGGGATCGAATTTAGGTCCTTGTGCTTCTGAGGCAGGTAGTGGAACCACTGAGCTAAATCCCTGGCCAAAATGGCAATTTCTTATCTTCCATTTCTCAATAAGTTTATTAGAAGAAAACATACAAGATGAGCCTAATATATTTTGTTGTGTCAAAGAATGAGGAAACAAATATAGTCTCATCAAAAGGACACAGAAGCCAACTTGAAATGCCTCACACTGCCAAATATACCACAGTCTGAGAAGCAAAGAGAATAATAATGCAAGTAATTGAAGCACATTGAAATAAAAAGATACATAAATTTTTAGTTATACAGGTTGAATATCCTTTATCTAAAATGCTTGAGACCAGGAGTACAGGTGTTTCAGATCTAGGAATCTTTGCATAGACTTTACCAGTTGAGCATCCCTAATCTAAAAATTTGAAATCCATATACTTCAAAATCTGAAATTTTTAGAGCACAGTGTTTGAGGGTGTTTCAGATTTGGTACATCTTGGATTTCAGATCTTTAGGAATGGTTGACCCATATTTTTTTAAATGCCAAAAAAATAAAAGCATACCTCATTGGTCCCATTGGAGGTAACTTACTGTGATTGGAGTTCCTTACTTTGAAATTTGAGAAATAAAGAATCAAGTATTTATTTTGCCTTTTCTCAGTTTACTGTATTTTATAGTAACCAAATAGCTATGTTGATGAGAGAATATTTTGTTTGCTTAGTTTGAAAAAATTCTCTTATTTAAAGAAAAATTGACTCCAAATATTCCACTTGTATATTAACATATTTTAATTATAACTGCCCACCTCAAATAGGCCTTCATTCAGCCATTTCTCAAGAAATCAGTTTCCATTTAATGCATTTGTCAATTTTTAAAAAAGCAAATGGCATGTGGTTTCTGTTCTAGACATTTTACACACTGCCGGTGGACATTTAAACATCGTGCATTTTTTATATGAATAAGATATGGTCTTTATGGCTGACAATTTGATGATGTATTTCCAAAGAACTCTTAAAATATGCATACTGTCTTTTAGCAATTTAATTTTGGGGGATGTTTTTCTTAGGAAATACAGTAGGATGTGTGCTGTATAAAAAGGTTCTCATACAAGCTTCATGCTTGTCCTGCTTACTGGCACTATGTGCACAGGTTTAGCTGTCAGTGTAGTCTTCACAGCATTGCTGAAAGTAGCTAAAATTTAGAAATAACCTACATGCCATCACTAGGTTTCAGTAAATTGCTATATATCACAGCCATTAAAATAATGTTATGGAAATGTATGCTGTAGGCAGGAAAAGATATTATTTTTATTTAAAAAAGTAAATACACATGCACAGATAAGCAGAGAAAACATCTGGATAGATATATTCCAAAATGTTATAACTGTGAGTAATAGTATTATAACTGATTCTTTTTTTTTTTTTTTTGATACTGGGGATCGAACTCATGACCTTGTGCTTTCGAGGCAGGTGCAGCGCCACTGAGCTAAATCCCCAGCCCAGCTGATTCTTGATTTATTTAGTTTGCTGAATTGTAATTTCTGCTTTTTCAGCCACACCAATTAATGTAATTGTGTCCAAAAATCTACTTATAGCACTTATAAAAAATTGTATGTCAAGGTCTTCCTATTTTGAGATGTGAATTCATATCTGTTCCATAATTGTTTTTACTTCTTTTGAGATAGTGTCATGCTATGTTTCCATACTGATCTTGAACTCTTGGGCTCAAGTGGTCCTCTCAGCTTAGTCTCACAAGTAGCTAGGACGACAGGCATGAACCACCACACTGGGCTCTGTTTTGGGCTCTGTTGTGTAAACCCCAGCAGTAACATGTTCACACGTGTGTGTATGCCCTGCATTGTCTTTAATTAGATAGCAAAACATTCACTTCAGTACTCCAAATCTCAGTTTAGTCATTTGAAATGTATATTATTTCTTCAGTTTTTACTAATTAGGCTAATAATTAAATAGCATCTTCTCATGATCATAATTTCTGTCCAAACTTTCCTTTACTCTAACTGCCAGATAGGGATGGAGAGTCTGGAAAATGGGGACAAAAACTTTCAGGGCTTGAGTGGAATCAGCTGCTATGGGCAGCATCAGTTGCAGTTCCAGAGGAAGCTGCACATGTAGGGTGAGAAGCTCTCCTTGTTCAGGTTACACCTCAGTCAGGGATTCCTACTGCTGGTATAGGTCTGTGGGAAGATTCTATCATAGCTGCTTATGAAGCCATAATTTTGAATGGTGACTGTTAGTTGCAAAGCAACATGTAAGCATTAAACCCATGCCAAGCATTTTGCTGATCACTTATTTACTCAGAGAATGCAGACATAGGTGGCCTTATCCTGTCAGTATGAAATGATTTCATTTTTTCCTATCATCCCTTCCTTTATAGAAATCTCTGTAAGCCTATAGCTGTGCAGTATAAAGAAAAAGAAGATCGTTATGTGGACACATACAAGGTAGCTGTGGTTTCTACTCATACTTTAATAAACGAAAAATGAAGTTTTGTTTTATAAATTTGTGCTCTACCTGATTCTAAATTTACAGTATTAGTTTTTCTGTTTTTCCTTTCCTTGTACTTTGACAGATAACTAGAAATCATTGTATGAAATTAAATATTCTTTTCTGTCTTAATTCTCTGAAAACACCTCAGAGAATTAAGAAAAAGAATATCCTTTTGGCATAAATTGAAAACTATATCCATTGAAACTATATAATCTATTGTTTACTCAAATACATAGTAATTATATTGCTTTAAAAACTCACACACTTCCAAGGACCTGCTCTTTATATCCCCTAGTGCTATTTATGTAACACTAGTAACCATGTACCATAATCCTTATTACTCATATTCAGAAAATTTGGTTTATTAAAACAAATTTACTAGATTTTAAATTTTTTGTTTTTTTATTTTTTTGGTACCGGGGATCGAGTTCAGGACCTTGCACTTGCCAGGCAGGTGCTGTGCCACTGAGCTAAATTCCCAGCCCTTAAATTTTTTAAATACAAATGAATTACCTGTTTCTGTGGAAATAATATTATTGAAATTCTATTGGAAATTCAAAACATCCTCTTTTGCCACACATAGCATTCTTCACAACAGTGTCAAGACAGAAGCAGCTGAAAATTTCTCATATTTACCATGTTGTTTTTTTATGTCATAGTTCCAGAAATATCCCTCTAAGCATCTTATATTGTCACTGATTCTTCTAGGGTTGAAAATAGGGCAGTGAAAGTCCAAAGTGACTATTGAAAATTCACTACACCTGACTTTGTTATCAGAACCAAACAGAAGCCATGGAAGATGAGCACAGATATTAAATGTTTAGCTTTGCTTCCTACTTTATGATCGAAGGATAGGAATAATGAAAAATCATGATAGTCTTTTTATCTTTTATGTACTATACTGCAAAATAGCCATAAAATATTATATTGATATTGATAATATGTAATATCTTTACATTTTGATTGCAATTCTACTTCTAGAGAAGCATTTCTTTAAGTAACGTAGCATTGTGTCATGCAACTGTCCTTTAAAACTTAGACACCTCTAGTGATTGGAGCAGCTGTCATTATTTGAGTGCTTAATGACCTTAGATATTAGGAGCTGGAGTGCTCTGCGTGAGGCTGCAGAGCAAGAGGGTTTTGTGAGGACGCAGAGTGGAGGTGCAGAATGCCAGGTGAAGCCTCACATGGTCAGGCCTTGACAAACCTCAGAGAAAACTCCTAGACACTCAGGCTGGCTGGGGTCTCAGACATGAGTGGGATGGGCAAGCTGTGGAGAATGACGTCAAAAGGGTGGGAGAGAAAGACAGAAAAGAAAACCTACACTTTCCCAGCATTGCATGGAATGCACAGTCATGAATTCTCTCTGATTTGGAATTCTTCAGTACTTAGAGGAGGAATACCGCAAAGGAGCAAGGGAAGACGACCCCATGCCTCCTGTGCAGCCCTATCACTATGGCTCTCACTACTCCAACAGTGGCACCGTACTCCACTTCCTGGTCAGAATGCCTCCCTTCACCAAAATGTTTTTAGCCTATCAAGGTAAGAATGTTTCCTGTCCCTAAAATCATGGTGGGTCATGACAACAAACTTGACTAGCTTCTTGAGAACTTACTAAGAATAACCAAGCCACAGGAAAGAAAATTCCACTCACTCCTTCATCAAAATTCTCCTCAAAAAAGCAATGGTAAATGAAGTCCTCTTGGTAGTGTCTCAAGTTTATCTTCCAATTAAACATATCTAAATTTATAAAAATGCAACTCTTTTTAAAAATTCTTTTAAATTTTTTAAATATTAAGATGTGCAGGATTTAGCTCAGTGGTGCCGTTGCCTTCCTCTGAAGCACAAGCTCCCAAGTTCGATCCCCAGTACCAAAAAAAAAAATTAAGATGTAATTCACAAACCATAAATTCTACCCTTTTAAACTGTATGCAGTTCGTTTTGTAAAGCCTTTCAACCTAATAATTATTTCAAATCACTTGAGTTACCTTGGGAACCTATGTACATTATTTGTACAAAGAGTACGCTATTGTAATTTATTATAGGGGACTGTTATTGTCGTTTACTGTAGCTAAATAGTGAATACCCGTGAGAGCCACACTAGCACCTTCACTGTAATAATTGCCTAGTTAATAATCTACCTCAGTTGGGCATAGTGTGTGCACATCTCTAATCCCAGTGCTCTGGGAGGCTGAGGCAAGAGGATGGCAAGTTCAAGCCCAGCATGGGAAACTTAGCAATTTATTAAGATCCTGTATCAAAATTTTTTTTAAAAAGACTGGGGATGTAACTAAGAAAAAAGGCCCTGTGTTCAATCCCATATTAGTCAGCTTTCCCATCATTGGCACAAAATACTTGACACCCATAACTTAAAGGAGACAATTTCAGTTTGGCTATCGGTTTGGAGTTTTAGTCTATGATCAGCTGGCTGCAAGGCAGAAATGACATGATAGAAGGAAATGACAGAGGAAAGCTGCTCACTCCATGGCAGCCAAGAAGCAGAGATGCGGAAAAGGGATAAGAATACTCTCTTCCATGGGCCGGGGATTTAGCACAGTGGTTTAGCTGCCTGCTGCACAAGCACAAGGACCCGAGTTCGATCTCCGGTACCAAAAAAAAAAAAAAGAATACTGTCTTCCAAATCACACTTCCCGTGACCTACCTCTTCCAGTCAGACCCCAGCACATTCAGCATGAACTAATGAATGAATCAATCCACTGATAAGTATAGCACCCCATGACTCAAAAACCCCACTTATGAATACATGAGACTTTGGGGGGACCTTTTAGATCTAAACCATAACAAATCTCCAATACTGAAAAATCATCATCATCATCATCAGTCATCTTCTACCTTGGCATTTTGAGTAGCAGCCTGCAGAACTGAGGATGACTTAGGAGTGAGTTTACTGATTTGTATGCAAACAAGGACACACTCCCCTGTCACTTTCTAGTAAGAACTGGCATATTATCTCTTTAGTTGTTCCCCAGAATTCTTTGGAGAATCATTATCCACTTATGTAATCAACCCTTCTAGGACTTCCTTATATTTTTCATTCACATACAACCCCTTGAAGGAATGAATTTGTTCTCTCTGTGCTTGGTCTATGAAGGAACTTTTTATACTTGCTCTTCTGTAAATACTCAGAATAAATGTTTCACATGACAGCCATTTAGATATTTTAAGATTGTTGCCCTGTCCCTTTTCTGTATCTAAGCCTTATTTTCCTTTGGCTAATTATCCCTCGTTAGTTTGACATCAGGTTGAGAGCTACCTATACGCATGACCCTACCCCATCTGTTGCAAGGAATACTAAAAGATAAATGGGACTGCTCTGTACTTCATAAACAGTATTCACAACTCATGTTCAAAGCCATCCTTGTTTGCTTCAACTTCCAAACCTGTCACAGTTCTGAAGACATTTCTGGACATGTTCTAATTTGTGAATGTTATTTAAAAATGGCAATATTTTAGGCATGGCTTTGGGGCCACTTTAGTGTTTAACAGAACTGTTAAAACTGTGTTTAACATCTAAAACCATGTTTCTTTTAATGTAGCCCAATAATCTATTATATAAAATTCTCAATCAACTAAAATTTATCAATCTTCATTTATATTACTATTGTGAATATATAAATATATAATACTAGGTTTTCTTTGCTGTTGATTGATTGTAGCATTGGAGATTGAACCTAGGGCTTTCATACTAAGCTGCATTCAAGCCCTTTTTAAATTTTTTAAATTTTTCTTTTTTTTGAGACAGCGTTTTGCTATGTACATCATGTTGTCCTTGAACTCACTATCTAGCCAGGCCAGCCTCAAACTCATGGTAATGCTCCTGTCTCAGCCTCCCAAGTGCTGGAATTATAGGCACATGCCACCATACCCAGCTTTATTTTTTAAATTTTGAGACAGAGTTTTGCCTTAAAGTTGAACAGGCTGAGCTCAAACTTACAGTGCTCACGCCGGGGATTTAGCTCAGTGGTTCTGCCGCCTGTTTCGAAAGCGCAAGGACCTGAGTTCAATCCCCGGTACCAAAAAAAAAAAACTTACAGTGCTCTTGCCTCAACCTCCCAGAGTGCTGGGAATAGAGGCATGCACCATGACGCCCTGATGTTGTATATTTATGAGTAGATTTTTTTTTAAATCCTGGTACTACCTTATCTGTTCACTTTCATCTCATTAGTTGACTTTTGATTTTTGGAGGGGAGGGGGGTACTGAGGATCAAACTCAGGACCTTGAGCTTGCAAGGCAGGCACAGTGCCACTGAGCTAAATCCCCAGCCTTGAATTATTTTTTGCTTTACAGTTCAGTCCAAGAATTCTCAACTTTCACACTCTAGTCACCTTGAGCTACATAATTTATCTGTCAAAGGGGCATCCCAGACCACTACCCACTAATATCAGTGGCACATCCTCACCCCAAGTTGTGACAACCATAAATGTCTCCAGACATTATCACATAACACTGCAAGACAAAAGTGCTGCCAAATGAGAACCACTGATTGAGTATAAGCATAATCTAGATCAGTGGTGGTGAACATATGGCATCTGTGCCACAGCAGGCATGCAGAGCCCTCCCTGTCAGAACATAAGCCAAGTCACCCCAGCAGCTGAGCATCAGATATTCAGGTTTACTTCCAGTGTTGGCACTTTGCCATACATGAGTGGGTTTTGGATTGCAGTTTGAGCACTCAGTCTCTAAAAGATTCGCCATCACTGGTATAGATTAGAAGAATTTTGCAGTAATATTTTTTAGAAACAAAAATTAGGAAACTACAGAAAGTCTTAAAATCTAGACATGAGTTCTCTTATTCCTCAGATCTTGGTGCAATAAACCCATCGTGCCCTGACAAAATGGCCCTGCTTACTTTCTGAGAAATATATAAACATTTATAAAACTTATTTTTAGCCAGGCACATGCCTATAATCCCAGCACTCAGGAGGATCACTGTAAGTTGAAGCCAGCCTGGGCTATATAGTGAGGCCCTGTCTCAAAAAAAAAATTTTGTTCTCCAAGATTTTATACAGTGGCCAGGCAATGCTGTCTGACTCAACAGAATAGATGAGAAAGAAGTAAAAGTAATAGAAAATATGCTCAGCAGAGCAGCTAATGTGTAGAGAAAAAATGGAGTGTATCATTTTGAAGATGTGCTTTGCTTGATGCTGAGATTCATTTGTGACAGTCCCCACATGAAAGGATATGCTAGTTAGCTAGTTAGAGGGATTTTAGACCATCTGACACTTTTCCTAATAAATGTATACTTCATTGATGTTTCCAAGGGCTGGCCTTTGGGTATCATTTATTAATCCAGACCTGCTTGCCCTAGGCCTGGAAAGTCTGATCATTGTCAGCAGAAAAGAGACAGGGACAAAACTCAATTCTTGATTATTCATAGTCTGTACCACACATACACACAAAATTAACAAAAGAATGACTATGCTTAGTTTTATATTATTCATTTGTAGGATAATGTGCTCAAATGCTTTAGCCAGAACATCTAAAAGGCAATGTCCTCCACCCCTACAGAAAGAGAGAGAATGGTCTTAACAACTAGACATGAAGGAATAATTTTGTTTCCTAGTAGGGAAAAAACTATCTACCTACCTAAACTTTTTTGGGGGGGGGGGTACTGGGGATCGAACTCGGGTCCTTGTGCTTGCAAGGCAAGAAGCGGAACCACTGAGCTAAATCCCCAGCCCTACCTACCTAAACTTTAATTTCCATCTTTATTATTCATTCACTTAATAAAGAAATCTTTTTTGTGTACTCATAATATACTGGGTGTGGGTTATATGCTAGGTATGGGTGATACCCCAGGGGTCCTCGTTTTGTAGAACTTTCATTCTACTTTAATAGAAGATAGTAATTAAATAAATGATATAAATTCATAGCTTCTCGGCCTTTTGGCTAAGATCATGTGTAACGGTATAAATTCATCTTGTATGATACTTTTTTTTTTTTTTGGTACCGGGGGTCAAACTCAGGACCTTGTGCTTTCAAGGTGGGCTCCGGAACCACTGAGCTAAATCCCTGGCCCTCATCTCGTATGTATTATGAAGGCATAATATAAATGAAAATAATATAATATGATCTCAAAATATAGAAATATAAAAATATTTTCAAGATAATGAATAATCTCTGAAACTATGGGCAAATAAAATCAATATTTTTATGAATTTTTTTTTTGGTACTGGGGATCAAACTCAGGACCTTGAGCTTGTGAAGCAGGCACTGGAACCACTGAGCTAAATCTCCAGCCTGAATTTTTTGAAATAGCAAAAGCTATGAAAGGTTTCAAATGGAATTAAGTCTTCCTATCTTAATTGCACCATTTGTATTTCTTTATAGATCAAAGTTTTGACATTCCAGACAGAACTTTTCATTCTACAAATACAACTTGGCGCCTCTCATCTTTTGAATCCATGACTGATGTGAAAGAACTTATCCCAGAGTTTTTCTATCTTCCTGAGTTTTTAGTTAATCGTGAAGGTATAGCAGCATATCATTTTCATTTTACATTTCTGAGGATTTGTGATGTTATAATTTTCTAAAAATAAAAATAAATATAGCTTTTCTAAGTCCTAAAATTTGAGTTCCTAAATAAGAGAAATTCATTTCTTTAAAGTGTATAATTTTCTTTTCAGGTGAGCCTAAGGATTTTAAGTTTTTCATAGGACTAAATATATTTGGAAGACTTAAATTTTTAAGTGTTAAAATTTTTTATAAGTATATATTTTATTGTTATTATATAAATTATATATTATTATTTATTATATAAATTATTTTATTATAATGTTTTATTTTATTATATAAATTATTTTATTATAAATTTTTTATTATAAACTTTTTTTAATGAGACATGAATATATTGAAACCAGATGTAACTTAACCAAAATCTCAGTGATTTTATGAAAAAGTCAAAGATAAAAATAAAATACTCTAAGCAGAATTATCTAATAACCCAAAAGGGATTCTGGAGGGTAAAATCCAACTTTCTGCGATGCCAGTGACCAGTGATTTTGACAACCTTAGCTTTTATTTAATAGACCATCATTTAACCCTGAAAGAGGTACTTTTGGGTTATTTTCCTTAATTTCATGTTTATGTGACTCTCAAAAATATATGAAATTGAGAATTACATCTCTAGGGAAATTAGTGTTAGGTGAATCATTTTAGAATTATTTTCTAACTGGCTTCTCTGAGGCTGTTTGGAGAATTACTAATAAATCCACACTGCTAGTTACCCTGGACATGTTTCAAAATGTTATCCATCTGAAAATGCCTTAGGCAAATATCAATACCTGTAGTTTGGAGAACCTTCCTGTGGCTTTCAATATGGAACTCATATTTAACCCATTTCCCATTTAGAAAAAGAAAGCACACTTCACTACCCGCATTCATTTAATTTTCAGCAATCAAGAATTACTATATTTCATAAATGGAAATTCCATTACTAAAAACACGATGCTATAAACAGAATGATGTCTTTTGTTTCCAAAGACTATCAACACATTAGAGCAATCCAAAAATAATAATGAAAGCGAGATATTTGGGGAGTTGTTAGGGCTGTAAATCAGAGTTATCTCAGAGAAATCTGTACCTGCAAACACCACTGGTGAATATTCTTGGGGCAACCAGAAATGGATTAAATCTACTGCTTATTTTCTCTGATAGTAGTTTCTTATATGTATATTCCCATAACCAGTGGCCACATAACAACCCCAACACTTAGTGACTTAAAACAACAATAAATTTATCCTCTGTCAGTCTTTGCAGGACCAGCTCAGCCTAAGGATTGTGGCCCACAGACTGCTTCTGTTTGAGAGAATAGTAAGGTTCTTGAAAAACATATAGGAAATGTTGTAGCCATTTTCTGAAAATACTACACAATTTTCTGTAATATTCACCATGTCATTTCCTATCAGCATTCTTCTCATTTTATCTCAGTCATCTGCTGAGTGGAGAGTCTATATCTGTGATGTGTCCTAGGGGACCCAAAAGTTGGGAATTATTAAGTCCTGCCAGTCCCTCTCCAACCTTCCCTTAGATTAAATAAATCAACCCTTGCTGCTGCTTCTCTCAGAGCTGCATGGAGTTATGCAGGTGCTCAGCGAAGCCTTCCTGAACCCCTTGCAGCTGCTCTGTAGGACTGCAGGCTCCTTGAGATGCTCACATGCAGTGTGAATTTGATTAAGTCCTCATTTTATATTTCACATTGTATCATTTCAAAATGCTTCCAAATCGGTGAAGATTCTTTTGTGTTCACACATTTAAGTAGACAACAATTTAATTTTATATAGATGTACTCAGCTTTTAAGACATCATTTTTAGTTTTTATTCTTATGGTGCTTGGCTTTTACATCAATAAAATGTAATACCAAAACATTTTCTATTCAAAATTATTTCTTTTAGGACATTTTTTAAAATAAATACTTCTAAGATTTTTTGTACACTAGCAAACTAATCAATTAAATATTAGCTCATTCATATCCCAGAAGACCCCTCTTATTTGATGTGTTGATATTATTTTGTTTTGCAGGCATGCTTAGTACAGGTGTGCCCAACCTGTAGCCCAAAAGCCACATTCAGCCCTTGACAGCTAGTAATGCGACACCACATGATCATAAACTTTTAACATTATTATGTGATTTTAGTGATTTTTGTCATGATTCAATTGCATGGTGCTCATGAGTAGGGGTGGGCACAGTGTAGTGGCACCTATGGTTAGTAGAATCAAAACCCACATTTATCAACACTAACTTGGATTTGTGAGATTTGGCAAGCAAAGCACAGCAATTACTGATAATAGTATTTCAACCTACCTACATATGAGTGTGCCTGTGAAGACAGGTATTTATTATTATCAAGCAATTATTTTATCAACAATTCATATTTATTTTCTCCTTCAGGTTTTGATTTTGGCGTGCGTCAGAATGGTGAACGGGTTAATCATGTCAACCTTCCTCCTTGGGCACGGAACGATCCTCGTCTTTTTATCCTCATCCACCGACAGGCTCTAGAGTCTGACCACGTGTCCCAGAACATCTGTCACTGGATTGACTTGGTGTTTGGGTACAAGCAAAAGGGGAAAGCTTCTGTTCAAGCCATCAATGTTTTCCATCCTGCTGTAAGTGATTTTTCAAATCATTTCTTCAGTTGTCTGCACATATGTAAAATGGAATCTGAATATTTTAAGGTTTACTGTTAGGCTGTTCCTTTAAAAAGTATCCGTTATTAAAGAGAATCAGCAGTTACACTCAACTGTTTCTGTTTTTACCCAGGATTCTTCACGTTGTTTTGTTTGTTTTTTCATGGTACTGGGGTTGCACAAACCCAGGGCTTTGCACATGGTAGGCAAGGACTCTACCACTGAGCCACACCCCCAGTCCTTTTTATTTTGAGACAATCTCATTCAGTTTTTCAGGCTGGACTTAAGCTTTTGATCTTCCTGCCTGGGCCTCCTAACTCACTGGGATTATAGGCATATGCCCCTGCACCTGACTATATTTTATATCTTTAAAAATGCCTGAGGAGGGCCAGGGATTTAGCTCAGTGGCACTTTGCCTGCCTCACAATCACAAGGTCCTGAGTTTGATCCTCAGTACTGGGGGAGGGGAGGATGCCTGCGGCATGGGCGTGGCAGTGCAGTCCTACCACACTGGGAAGTGAGGCAGGAGGATCAAAACTTCAAGTCCAGGCCTAATCAGCCCACTGCAGACAGGCAGGTCTGCGCACGCCCTACTGAGGTCCAGAGTCACGTGGAACACGCCCAATCAGCCCACGCCCGGCAACAATCCACTGGATACCACCACCAACACCACCCACCTCCACCCCCACCCCCACTCCTGCTCCTCTGTACAGCCACCTGGTTCCACACTACAAAGACGCAGAGGACACCGGACCACCAGACCACGGTACTGAGTCCCGCTGCTCCTGGCCAAGAGGTAGGGGCTTCTGAGCTGCTGTCCCACTGCTCCTGGTCCAGGGGAAGGGGCTTCCCAGCCACCATCCCTCCCACTGCTCCCAGCCCAGAGGAAAGGGCTTTTGGGCCACCATCCCTACTGCTGCTCCCTGCCCCTGTCCCACCTCTACCAGCTCAGAGGAGGTAATCCATGCAGGTGCCAAGAGCACTCCCCCCCCAGTCAAAATGAGAAAACACATAAATAAGTCTGAAAACCAGACTTCCAGATCACCTACAGCAACCCCAAAGGGAAATGAGATGGAACACTGTGATACTCAACCACCTGGACCCACTGAACTGGCAACAAAAGGGGATCTGGAAAAAATGAAATCAGAA